ACACACACATCAACCCTGCCCCCTTGTGGTTTAAGACAGAAATATTTTTTTTTTCTAATATAACAATGAAACTGTTGTGGGGTGCTTCACCAGAGAAGACCATTCAAAGTTTTGCTGAATGAAAGTTGTTATTGTCCAGGGCTACTACACAAGGGTGTCAGAAACCAAGTGTGTAGGCCCAGGCCATCTTTAAGATAAGCCATCCTTTTATACAGAGAAAACCATAACCATGAGTAACAAGTTTAAGCGCCCAAGCTTACAGGTGGAGAGCCCCCTTAACAATTTCTATTGTATTAAGAAACAATTACTATTTTGCAGAAGCAAGCCAATCATAACCTACAGAAGCCGTAAATCTGAAGTTAGCAGGACACTCTGACCTGTTCCCAAGACAGCTGGGGTCCAGATGATACGAGTTTCCATACCCTGGGCCTGATAATTTCAGAGACAAGAGTCAGCCTAAACTTTAACATGGTATATCTATGGTCAAGAAGATACCCTATTACAAAACCATATTTTAAAATACTGATGTCGTATTGTTACTTATTAGAAAGTCTCCCTCCCCGTTGATGCCCTATACAGAGTCAGAGTGTATTTCTATTTGTAAATGATGAAGGCAAATGCCCCTTTATTGGTATTCCTCTGGTTTAAGGAAATTTCTGCTCTTTTTTATGCTGTGTTCACTCACTAATTCAGTTCAACACTTGCTAGGAGGCTTCTGAGTCTGAGATGTTGACCATTTGGAAGTGTCTGACCTACCCTATATGGGAAAGAAAGTTCTCTGCTCTAACAGAAGAGCCTGGCCTAGAGGACAGCCAGGGTAGATATACTGCTTGGTCATCTGATCTATGTGAAAGCTCAGAAAAGCACTTGAACTTCAGCATGGTCAACTGAGAGTTGAGAGTAATGGCACCAGTCCTGCCTCACACCAGCCTGTTCTAAGGCTCCAGTGGGGTTGCTGGGACTCACCGTAGTCCCCAATCTGAACTCAGGCCTATAGTTTCAAGTGGGCATGTTGGAAGGTTTACTGGGTATGGGTTCAGAAAGGGTATCTGTACACATTAAGGCCAGGGTAACAGCAGAGGGTAAATCTGAATTCTAGGCCTGCAATGTCCTACTTGCCCCCATCACTAGGAGTAAAACATGATATTCCCTGCTCCTGTCCTGACTGTTCCCTGGACTCCAAGAAAGATGAGAAGCTAGAATCTGAGGCTGGACGTGGTGGCGTATGCCTTTAATCCCAGCACTCGGGAGGCAGAGGCAGACAGATTTCTGTGAGCTCAAGGCCAGTCTTGATGGATTTCTGTGAGTTCAAGGCCAGCCTGGTCAACATAGTAAATTCCAGGCCAGCTGGGGCTACAGGAAGACCCTGTCTCAAAAAGACAGAAAAAAAAAAAATAGGGGAACAGCTCATGGCACCCAGAAACTAAACAACCAGCCCTAACAGAACCAGGGAGGTGCTGAGTTCCAGAACTCTCATGGGTAAAGAGATGGGCTTTTCATCAGATCCAGAAGAGGTGGCCATGTGATTATTAGGTGGGGCCTCAGGCATGAACAAGGTGTTGCCCAGAGACTGTCCTAGCTCCTCCTCTGAATTGTGACCAACAGTCAGAATTCCCATCTCTACCCGATGAGAACTTTCTTCCCCAAAGTTGATGCATGTCCAGGTGTGACCACAGAATGTAAGTCTCTGGTTTATGTAGCCTTAATTATCTGAGCTTTTTTTCCAGAATCTTCCCTTTCCCACTATAATAGCTCTTTCTGAATCTCTTTGGATCTACTGGTCTTTTTCTCAGTGTCTCAGCTTCATCACACTGAATAGTAAGAACAAATAGAAATTTGAAAAAAAAGTTAAGAAAAACACATGAAAATAGAGGTTTACATAGTTTACCTACATTGATACAGTGAAGAGGAAATGTGGCATTTAATAATTCATTCTCTAGAGGGGAAAAAAGGAAGAGATAAGAATGAGTAGGAAAGAAAGTAAAAAGCCAGTTGGGTCAGAAGCTGCTTAAAGGTCAGGATAAAGATTTCATTGTTAAATGTCAAAACCTTTGTTTTTCACTTTAGTCTTTTCTAAAGGAAACTGTTTAATGTGTGCCTTGTATTTTTCTACCATGATACATAACGGTCAAGCATACTTTTTGGGACAGCTCAAGGTTGCCTTACCATTGAGACTTTTCATTTACATCATTAGACATAGATGCCTTCACCTTCAGATAGCCTGGTTTGTCTACTGGCAAGAACAAGCTTGAATATGCAGCTGGTACAGCTCAGTGGAGAGTGCTTGCCCAAGATGGATGAGGCCCTGGGTTCGAGCCCCAGCAATGGGAGTGATAGAAATTTTAAAGTGAGGCAAGGCTGATATAAAGGATTCAATGTGGACTCTAGAGACTGGCATGGGTTTAGAGCTTGGCTGTGCCACTTGGTTGACTGTAAGATTAAGAAGGTAGTTCAGGGCATGGATTTGAACCCTTAAACCACCAAAAAAGAAAAAAAGAGGTTATTTTAATCACCTTACTCTTCTCACCTGTAACACCTGTTTTGTTTTTGCAGTCTTGAGGACTGAACCCAGGGCCATGGCTGTCACGGACATGCTAGGCAGATGTTTTACCATTTAGCCATCCCTCAGCCCTGTAAACCCATGATAATAACGACGTCAGTCTTGTAGAGCTGAAGTAAGGGAATATACACCTGAAGCCCTTAGTAAGGCCTGGAATATGTTATGTGCTCAGTACTGTTGTCTGCTGTCAATAATAAGACCATACCACTCAGTTCTGTGGCTCAAGGAACACCACAATTATAATTCTGCTTCCCAATTAGTTTGTCCAATAAAGACAAAATTATGAAGTTCTTTGTATGGATAAATATCTTGTAACTTAATACCCTGCCTGCTTTTTGTTTGTTTTTTTCGGATTTTGTGGAATCCATCAGCATCATGTATCAGTATAGACTGATGTTTGAGTAAACAATTTGGAAATGACAGGAAGGGGTCTTAGGCTATCTTTTGTGATCTGTCATTCTGACAATAGTGTGCTATAAGTGGAATATTCAGCAACCAACAAATGTAAGCGACAAATCAGAGCTTGTAGCTTCACTGTAATTTACAGTCATCAAAAATACTCTCCTTCTCTAATACTGTGTTTGACTCAAAATAGATAAGTACAAGAAATATATTTCTTTTTTTAAGTAAACATTTTTATTATTTTTAATCATTTTTTTATTTTTAATAACTACATGGTTAGAAGCATTTCACTACAGATTTAACATATTCAGTGACACACGCCACAGCAAGAGTTCATCTCTTTCACAAGTGGGTGCAAGTTTCTAGGTTCACAGTTGAGTTAATACAGTTATGCAATATTGAACTCAGTATAAGCCCTGTAAAACATAAAATTGAATGAGTTGCAGAAAGACTCATTGTTTTTGCTACTAACACTGAGATGTTGGCACTTGCATCTCTAATCTGTATGTATCTGATTATTACTAGTCATAATCGGTTGCACTTGAACCCTTGGTGCCTGTGTATGTCTATGAAGTCATCGGATAGGTTTCAATGGTAATGTTTATCACCTCTACTAATTAACATAAAGTAAATATTTATGCTTCCTCAACTATAAGTCATTTTTTTATTTGTTGATTTTTTTTGTGTATATCATACAGAACATCCCAAACAATCTTATTCATCTATATACCCACTTCCCAAATGGCACCCTCC